GAGGTTGATGAGCATCAAGCCTTGGTCAACCCTTCATTACTGTAGTAAATAGTAAATTGGTCATTACTTGCATGTTGTCCTGGCTTTCGAGGCCAGCTGCCCGGTTCTCAGACCAACAGCATGTATCTGGCATCTTTCAGATCTACCTACCTGTAAGGCAGATGTTTCAGATCAAGACTGTGGTATAAGTGTGTTGTCCATGACACTATGTATAAAGCCCAATGGAAGAATCCTCAGGAACTCCTTGCCTGGAATTTATTAATGAACTGAATAACCTTATTATGAGAAATGTTGGATTTGATTGCAGAAATAATGAGGAGAAAAATTCAGAGTAAATAACAAGAATGATATTTGTCTAGGATTCAGTAGAGAGCGTGACTTGTTTTGAATGGCTCTGTAAAGCTGGTTTCATTATTTAATGGTCATATAACCAGTATGTGGTCGATAGAGGTCCCTCTGCCCTCTCTCTTGGGCGCTGTTTGGAATGCTACAGTAAATAAACAAAAACAACAAGCAATTCAAGTGTCTGTGTCAGGTCAAGACACTGAGCCAAGGATTGCTTGTGCTCCAAACTTATTTCCCTTCACCTCAGCAAAAGTCCCAGGTCTTGGCGATGTCGACTAGTAAACAACAGTGTCATTGTTCTGTGTGCTGGAGCTCTGCGTGAACAAAGGGAACTCACAGAAATGGGAAAGCTCGGTGACTGACACCTCCGTGAGCTGGGAGTACAGAGCAGCAAGTGTAGTTACAGAGTCTGAGGCTGAGGAAGTAGTTCTGATGGAAGAAAGCAGAATTGGAAATATCAATGAGTAAAGGTGATTTTTGTCCCATAGTGCAATAAATTTCATCAGCTCTAAGGGAAAAAACAATGGGGATAGAAGTTGAGGAAACCAACTGGAGTCACCTCGGTGAAGTTTTTGTTCTCGGCAAGGCAAAGTGTTCCCTCTCTGATCGTTTCAGCTTACACAGACTTTTACCATCTAGCAGTTTCTGCTTTTAAGATCATGTTCTGGCTATTTTTCACTGTGGCCAGAGGAGGCAGCTCTCATTCTACGGGGTGAGCGGCATTACAACAGAAGTAGACACTGCTGTGGATCCAAGAGGTTCAGCTTGTTTTGTAGAAGGGCTGTGTGCCAGGGAATTCTTGTTAGGAACGTTCTGCTCTACCTGCTCTTCTTTTGGGCTATGGAAAGATTCCGATTTTTATAGTAGGCTCCTGGCAGAAATGGAGATGTTTCCATATGTCAGGGGTCTGCTAAGCATGATAAATCACCACTGAAGAAGAGGACAGCTCAGCTAAAAAGCTTTCCTCTGTGAGACTCTTAATTGTGGTGCTTTAAGAAGAGTCTTCTGGTGTGTGCATGGAAGGTCAGCACTTGCCATTTATCCCTCCCTATGGTGGGAAATGATGGAGATGCCACAACGCTTTCTGCAGTTCTGACACTGTAATGTCATAGAGCAGCCTCTGCTTTTACTTCCTAAATTAGAATTTTGTTGCAGATTTGCTTCTGACTCAGTTATCTGATCTATGGGCTGTTACGAGACGATGTTTCTTTTCATGAGAACTACTTATTTTTCCCATAGCTGCAACGTAAAAAATGACAGCTTATTCATTCTAAAATGAATAAAAATAGTGTGAAGTTCTTGACCTTTCTGAGGAGACGTAACTATGAGAACATCCTTTGTCTTTGTGCTGCTTTTCGTGCCTATAAAGAAAGTGTTTTTTAAAGTTTTCACTTGCAGCAAATGAAAGCACACTTGCTTAGACTGTTCAAGACAAATGATGGGAAATGGCATATATTTTCTCCTGACCTTATTATAACGTAAGCTCCCAAAGACTTTGGTGGGAGATTTAAATCATAAGCTTTCAGCTTCTTTTTCTCATTACAAATGGATATGTTTGCAGCTAAGACTTTACAGGAGCAGCTGAAATCAGATTTACCCATGCTACAGCGCGCATTGGCATTGGAACTGGACCACCAACATCTTTTTAACTGAACGCTAGGAACAAAATAGACTGCAAGCCAAGATTTGACTCTGAAAAGGGGAAAGAGATCATTATTTATTGTAGGCTGTAGCTTGGTTTTGAAAACATTTCTTTTATAGTCAGTTTTAGCTAATGCAGGTTGCTGAAGAAAGAAATTATCTCCCTCACAAAGGAACACATGAGAAATAATAAGCTTATTAATAGAATGCATGAAACCTGCTCTCTTTTTCATGAAAGAAGGGCCTGTGCCACGCTGAATAAGTTTCCCCTCTGCATGCTGATGTATTATCCACATATTGATGTTACTGCTTCATTAGGAAACCTAGTATTTGAAGCTGCACTCTGGCAGCAAAATCCTTTTCGTTTACCAAGATTGGTCTTAGGAGTAACAGAGCCAGTGGACTTGTTTGTGAGAGGGAAACAGAGAGTCTGAGAAAGACTGAAGCTTTCTTAAGCTGAAGCCATTTTTGATGGCTGTGTTTTACAGCGAACCTTTTATTTCCTGCACTTTCTCTGGTAGAATGCAGCAAAAGCCTGAGGACTTTGAATGTCCATTTTCACTGTATTTGATCTGAATATAAATCAAAATCCACAGAACATGTGTAAGAAAATATCTCCTTTCCTTTCCCAAAGTGTAACAGCTTAGCATGTATATTTAGAAGTTTCTAAATATTTTTCCTTGGTATCAGATGTGTAGAATTCAGCACTCACAGAATTCCCTTCCTGGAAAATGTTAGGTAGAGACTCTAAAAATTACATTAATGTCTCCATATATTCGTGGTTGGTTTTTTTTAAGTTTATTACAGTAACAACAGTGTTGGTATAAGTGTGATTTCTCTGACATGACTGTAGATGAGCAGCTCTCTAAGTGGAGATGCATCATCGAGCACCACTGGAAGTGTGGTGGTGTGGGCTCAAAGTGGGACTGTGTTTATTTCTGAAAAATGAAAAAGAAAGTGTATTCTGTGCAAAGGCCAAACCAAATTTCAAACAAAACCAAACACCAAAAACGCAGAGAAGGTGTAAATTAAGAAGTTCTGGATTTTCTTGGGAAATACATTTTGAAAAATGCTTTTGGATGTGGAGAAATAAGTAATTTTATTTGACCCAGTGAGACCTGTTTCCTAAAAGTCCAAGGATTGGAGCCGTCCCTGGGGCTGTTGGGATGAAACTCCTTTCCCAAATGCCCTATCGCTCACTTCCCACTCCCTTCCAGGCAACCGCTGTGCTGCTGTGAGGAGGGCCGTGCTGGTGTGGGTTTCCCTTCCCAGTACGCTCTGTTAGGTTTCTTGCTGCCCATCTTGTACTGCCTGATGGCACAAGCAGCTCCTCTCCCACTACTCCATATGTATGTGAAGGAAGCAGCACTGCCTTGTAGATTACACCTAGCAACAGATTCCCCTGCATCACCCTTGTATTGCCCCAGTCTCCCCATTACTCCTTGCATCTTGGCTCTCCCGAAGGGTTCCTTGCCCATGTTCACGCAGCACATGGAGAACCGGGCGGCTCTGCTGCCTGGGACATGGGGTGGCTTGGTTTTCCTTCCTTGCTGGAGTGAGGCAGGAATAATGCCCCTGGAGTCAGCAGGCCAGCAGTAATGTAAAAGCAGTATGCGTCCCTCCTGTGCCTGTAAATGACAATTACTTCCTTCCATCTCCACGTGGATTCTTTGCAGCAGGAGGACCAGCCAATATAATAATGATTGGTTAATAACAGGTCCTGGAAATGTTCCAACTTCGGTAATATTTTTTAAAGTGCCATTAATTCCTGGAGTCCTACTTTATCTGTAAGTGAAATGACTGAGTTTATTACGAAGGAATCTCTCAAACTGATTCTCCATTGAGGCAGGAAGATGCGTGTGCTTTAAATCCTCAGTAGTTCTGGTTTGGATCAGGGGAGGGCAGTTAGCAGAGCCGTATCTGCAGTGTGCAGCTGAAAATGAAGCACAACAGTCCCCGCGTGGTTGCAGCGGTTCATGATTTACAGGGCTGAATTCACTGGGCTGCCCCTGCTGCCGAAAACGCACGCTCTCAACCGCTGTTGATTTTTGAATTAAAAAAATGCAGCTCCGTACAGAGTTTACTTCAGTGCTGGAGGGCAGAGAAATATAGGTAAAAGCCGTTAATCCCCAGCAGGCTGCTGGGCAGGCGAACAGACACAGATGACAAAAGTTAATTGGCAACATGAGCAGCTTAACAGAAAACATATTTGTGATAATTGAGAGAGTAACGTCTCCAGAAGGGAAACTGCAGAGAGAAGCTACAGAGGAGAAGTGGCCACTGGTAGGTGAGTGGGGTTTTTCAAGCTTTCTCTCAGCTCTATGCTGACTTCTTGCTAAGAATGCATAATGCTCAAAGTACCTAACCAAATAGGATTTGCTCTGTCTGAGGGGGACAGCTGTGCAATTACTGCCACTGGTTTCTCTTACAGCTGCATTATAAGCGTGGTGAGGTATAAATTAGGTTCATCTCATAAGGGCACGGTTGGTTTTGTACATGGAGTTTTATTCTGCATTTTTGTAGATGAGGATCTCTCCCCAATAACTGAAAGAGCTTTGGATTTATTTCTTTTTCCTTACTCCTGCATTTTTTTTATACTTGAGGTTTTTCTAAGAATTGAACTCAGACAGCAAAAATTTTGCCAAAAAGCTGAGAGAACCCTTGATTAGAAAACAGTGCTATGTTTTTGCTAATGAAGAAGTATTATGAATCTAATAAAGAAGAATGCATTGCAAAGCACATTTTGGCTTGAGCTATTTTTTTTTCTTTCAGGAGGAACTAAATGTAAATTACATAGTGGGAGCTTGTTGCTGTGCTGCTGGAAAGGAAAACTGGCTTTTGTTTTCATTGAATGATACTGATGTTTAAAGCAGTGATGTGTGTCTGCCTTTTCAGGGTTACTACTGTAAAGCTCCTGCTGTTTCATTACAAAAAGAATCCCAAGCCAGCTATAATATCAGATGCCACTGTGTTTGGTGTCTCTTCTTTAAAATTTTAATTTAACTTTTTTCCAGAGCCTGCAGACAGTACAGCCTTCCAGCCCACAGGAATGAATGAAAATGTATCATCCTCAGTTCAAAGCTGCAGCGGTACTACTGGTTGCAATAACTCCTCGGCCATCCCTCAGCCCAGCTCTGCTATTAAGCCTTGGCGCAGCAAGTCCCTCAGTGCTAAGCACACAGCGACGTCTTCCATACTATCCGTAAAGCAGCCCGTACCAGAGCCTCCAAAACCACCCTCAGAAGTCGTCAAAACAACTCCCAATGGCCAAAAATCCATGCTGGAAAAGTTGAAACTCTTCAACAGCAAAGGAGGCTCCAAAGCAGGGGGGACGACGCTTGAGTGTTCCACATCTCGTGACAGCAGTTGTGAAAAGCTAGAGATACTTCCCAGCTTTGAGGAGAGCGAAGAAATCGATGCCACAAATCAGAATGTGAGCAATCCAGGATCAATGTCCAGTAGCCCCAAAATTGCACTCAAGGGAATCGCACAAAGGACTTTCAGCCGGGCACTGACTAACAAGAAAAGTTCTCCCAAGGGTAATGAGAAGGAGAAAGAGAAACAGAAGGAGAAAGAAAAGGATAAAAGTAAAGACACGGGAAAAAGAACATCTATGACCGAAAAGCTGGGTGTGAAAGAGGAACCAAAAGAAGAGCAGACAGTGCTAGCAACAGCAGAGATGCCAAAAAAGTCCTCAAAGATTGCAAGCTTTATTCCAAAAGGAGGAAAGCTGAACAGTGCCAAGAAGGAGGCCTCGGCCCCTTTGCACAGTGGAATACCAAAACCAGGAATGAAAAACACTGCAGGGAAATCCTCAAGTGCCCCAGTTTCTACAAAAGAAAGTGAGAGGAGCCGCAGTGGGAAACCTGGCTCGGGACTCTCGCATCAGAAGTCTCAGCTAGACAGCAGGAATTCCAGTTCCTCTTCAAGCTTAGCCTCTTCTGAAGGAAAAGGCATCGGAAGCCTCAACAGCAGCAACAGCAGCCAGTCTGTCAGCGGGCCGGCCACCACACACAGCACGGGAAGCAACACCGTCAGTGTTCAGCTACCTCAGCCCCAGCAGCAATACAGTCACCCGAACACGGCCACAGTAGCTCCGTTCATGTACAGGTAACTAACTGCTGGGATCATCCCTTTGGAACATGGCCTCTGGGTAGGAGCATTCATTGGAGACGCTTTACTGGGGGAGTGAGGCAACGCCATGGATGCCGTTGGAATAACACATTTATGTATTTACCCAGAAACTGTTGTGAAAGGCAGTCAGACCAAAGTTGGAGGTGGACTCAGTGATCTTTATGAGTCCCTTCCAACTTGGGATGTCCTATGGTTCTCAAGTGTGTAAGAAATTCTGATAGATAGGAGCTGGGATAGTTGTACCTGACACTTCTAATAGTTAATATCCGAATGCTAATGCCTTGTCCCACTGCTGCCCTTGGACCATGTGCATTAGGTTTATTTTACACATCATAGCTTGTAAGCGTGGCTAATGGTGGTGGCGAATTAGAACAAATTGAAAAATAGAAGTCGATTAGTATAGGCAAGGCCGAGCACAAGGTCTTCTCTTCTATGCTTGCATTACCCCAGAACTAGATATTCATAAGATCAGCCGTCTGTGAGGACAGCTAACCTCCAGGCCAGTGTCTTGTGTGTGACAGTGGCAGTAGAGGAAACATAGGGAAGAGTAACGAGAAGGAAATGACTAAAGAAGCTTTCTGAGGATGTGCTGCCAAACCTGACAACGACAGAAGAAATTCCTGAGTCTAATGGCAAAGTTTCTGGCTTTGACAGCCACATCATAAGGTTTTTTCAAGCAGTTGTTCTGTCTTTGTTATCTTTTTGCTGCTCGTGCTTTTATAGACCTCTCTCATATCTCTCCTACCTCACAGTGTGTCTTTTCTGGCCTGTTTAGTTGCTGCTCGTGCTGCTTGTAGATGTTATTCACACCGTTTTGTCCACCTTTGTCACTCTCCGCTGTAATTTTTCAGTTGAACGGTATGGTGTTTTGCCCTTGGTAGGTGTAATGTAAGAATGGTTGGCTGTGTTGTTTTTGTGTTGTTGGTGGGTTTTTTTTGCAAGCAAAATCAAATTTTTAAATGAAATCAAAATGAAGGAGAGAGATGCAAAAGAATTGCTCAGACCTATGTAGGCAGGCAGGAGAAGAGTGACCCTTGAGTCTGCTGAGCCCTAGAGTGTTATCTCTGTGTCTATGGAGTAAGGTGCCAGATGTCATTCTGGTATGCAGTCATGTGAAAATGAATAAGTTGGAAAAGCCTAATATTTGTATTTATATTACGTGTTCTGTATTTCTCTTGTTCTCACTTTCATCTACGTACGTCACCATTACTGTCACATCTTTGACGTGTGGTGGGATCTACTAATGCCAATTTTTTGAAATCTATTTAGAGGTGAAAATTGCTATAGTAGCTTAAATCCATAATGATATCTAACTTTCTCATCTTGTTATTCACAGCTATAGCAGATTCCTTAATGTGGATCTGCAGCTCAAACACAAACTGTAGGGAAGGGGAATGAGTCTAAAGTGTCACTGTTAACACGTTGTGGTTTTAATCTCTGGAGAAATTGTTCTATGTTTCATATAAGGCCAAGTGAAATTAAGAACACTACAGTAGTAATTGCTTGCTATGCTTTTGCTCTTGTACAGCACTTCTTTTGACAAGAGAACTTCCAGCTGCTTGTTGATGTGGCTCTTAGAGCAAAACACAGCACAGGCAGTAAAATGAAGTAATCCAAGATACGCTACTGACATCTGACAGTACGTTCTCATCACGCCCCTTTTACATGGCAGCCATCATGTCAGGTAGCAAATTGGTGTTATCCAGTCATTTATTTTAAAATAAAAATGAGTGTTACTGCTGGTTACGGAAGAATAACCAGCAGGAGTGTAAGATGCCATCACACACTACCTGCTTTATATTTATGTAATGCAAACTATTAGAGAAGATCTGATTAATCACAACAAATGATGATATTGATAATTGAAATGAACTGGAAACACAAGTTTCTTAGGACCCCATTTGAAGAGCTAAGAAGCCTATGTTTGGCCATGAATTTTTTATTTTTCACAGCTGAGTGCTTGCTTCCATTTCTAAGACATAGTTCAAAATGGGACTAATGAATTATGTAAAATCAGTCTGCTGGTCTATTCTGGAGGGGCTGATGGCAGGTGCAGTTGTCTAGTTGTTCTGTGTGAGCTAATTTTGATGGAGGCTGTCTGCACATCACTATTTTGCTTTGTCTTACAGATCCCAGACAGAGAATGAAGGAAATGTAACAGCTGAGGCCAGCACAGGAGGGGTCAGCATGGATCCTACTCTCTATGTCAAAACTGGACAGCCTGGTCTCGAAGACCTCTCAGGTATGTCTTGCAGGATGACTTACCATGTTGCAATTAAGTGAGAATGGACTAAAGCAAATTTGAAGTCAGGAGCTCTGCTGTAGGGAGAATTTAATTTGCTTTAATTTCTAATATTTCATTTCCTATTAGAAATGGTATTTTTTAACTGTTAGGCAATGGAAGCTGGGTGTCAATAACATGTGTAATAGATACTCAAGTTGTATCCAGTGGTGTGTTCCCTGCATTTCTTGAAACCATTAGGTGTTCTGGGTGCATATTGTCTTTTGGGATATGTGCAACACTTTTCAGGGCTAATTTGTAGTGAAGATCCTAAGTATTCCCATACGTACATATATGTAAAGGAAACTACTTTTCTTGCTTCTTTGCTTGCAGAAGAGAAGTGGGTTTTTTTCACCAAGAAGAGACCAAAATCCAGTTTCAGCTTACTGTGTCAAGCATGCACAAACTGGAGCTGATGTGAAACTGATGAGAATACTAGCAAGTGAAGTTAGAAAGTGATTTGTACTTTTTTCTTGGATTCTTATTTGATCATTAGCAATCATTTTTTAGCTTTCCTATGGTACCTAAGCAGTTTCTGATAACCATATTCTATTTAGGGTCTAAAATGTACACTTAAGCCACTGTCAAGTCTCCTCTTTCCATTATGATTTTAGCAATGCCTGTGATGCTGTTTATTGGATACTATTACAGTTTATCTCATTAATCATAGAATATCCTAGGCTTTTTTATTGAGTTAATTTTGGACTCCTCCACATTAGTGTGAGTTTTGAGATTGATTATCCTGCCCGGAAAGTCATACAGCTATAATTTTCACACCTGGATTGATTTCATTTTGCATTATATTTTCTGTCAGTGCCACATTTGTGTACACACACGCTGATGGCAAAGCCAAGCAGCATCATTGGTAAGGAAAAGGGCTCCAGAGATGCATAAATGGATGTGTGTAAACGTGTATAAATTGTGTAAAAATGTGCTTTATACATTGGTTAAAAAACAAAAAGTCAAATGGCCTTGTGCCATTTTGATAAAATTTGATAAAATTCTTGATAAAATTTTTGGGTTCATACTTAGATGAGTGAGTGAGTTCAAAGTATGAAACACAAGATGTACAGCTTCATAGGCTTTTTCAGCATTACCTCCTAATTGTTGTGTAGCCTGCCCTGGCCTAGATGTCTTCCTGTAAACTGGGAAGAATTGATAGATCACAGAAGGTCCTTAGTCTTCAATGACAGAGGTTGTATGAACACCAACTATTATTCAGGTAGAGTATTTGTTGGGATCCAAGGATGCAGGATGACAATACAGCCTCAAGGAATCGAGACGCAAAACCCAGCTGTGTGTAGCCAAACTCCACAGACAGCAGCAGTCAATAAAGGAGTCTTAAGGGAAAATGAACAAGTGGAGCAAAGCGGTCCGTCAATCCAAATAAATTAGAAGAAATAAGTAACAGATTTCTTCTTTCCCTCCGTAGCAGCTATTGGAGCTTTGGTATAAAGTGTATCTGAAACAAAAGAGTGCAGGTAGGGAAAACAGGAAGCTGTGTGATTTAATGGAATCACCTGCTCACAAAGAGCCACTAATTCAATAATTTTTCGTGACGCTATCCAATGTCTCTCTACATTTGAAGTAACTGAACATAATTTAAGTTAAAAAAATTGTATTGTATTGTAATTTAGATAAGTGATAGCAATAGAAATTAATTTCCATGCAGTAAATCTTGTGTATGTTCAGTTACGAAGTTACTTACTGTTTGCCTTCATCTCTTTGAGAGAAATGATCTGTAAAAGAGCACTCTGACCTTTGTTAGACTGAAGGCCTATAAATATTTTACGTTCTTTACAGCATAATTTGTTTTCTGTCCCAGGGAACCAGTGGCTAAAGGAATCCCTCATGTTAGATGGCTATTTCCAGTTCAGCCTGATCATAATTATTTGATCTTGGGCCTAAGTGAAATTTATTGTTAGGTTATTTCCTAGGGACTGGGAACCTATAAAACATTGCTGACATGGACACTAACTGAGTCATCACTGTTTATTTCAGAAGGGCTAATGATGATATAAGAATAAAAATCTATCTTCCCCTCCCTAGATAGTTCCTTGTAGTCAGGGCTTCAGCTCTTCTGTTAAGTGCTTTGTGCTGCTGCTGCTTTGCAAGTAAGAGTCTGTCACTTGGTCTGTCTGTGCCACCAATCTGGCATCCTTCAGCAACACGAAGTTTAAGGCAAAGAATGTGGGAAATGCCAGTGATGAAGTAAAAGGCTATTTGGTCTGCTCCTTGTTGCTTCTGATTTGTATAATATGCAGATGGCCATATAAACCAGCTGTTGTATGGATGACCACTATCCTCACAGCTTAAAAATTCATGCCTTCTGCAGAAAAGGTTAATATGAAGTGTGTAGTTTTGAATCTGCAGTAGTGATTTCTGTAGTCATGAGCTATAAACCCTTTAGAATGATATCATTCCCTTCTGTGCCCAGCAAGTTCTGTGATGGCTTTTTGGAGGTGTTCTGCTTCAATGTGGAGCTTACAAAAATATGTTAGCACTACTGGAAGTCAATAGTCACTTCTCTTCAACCTATTAGAAGATTTAATTATATGCAACTCGTCTGAACTAGCAACCAAGGCATTTCTTAATTGGCAGCTGAGGGCAAGTAAATAACTTACACTGAGACACTAGAGGGATTTTAATGTCTGTAAACTCTATGTATGTATGTATGTAAATATTAGAGAAACGTCTCTGAGACAGATTCAGGCAAAGGTAACAACTCAATTCTGTGCTGTTTCCTGCCCTGTCCTTTCCAATGGCTTGTTACTCCTCTAGGAGAGGATCCAGAAACTCGGCGATTACGAACTGTGAAAAACATTGCCGATCTTCGACAGAACTTGGAGGAAACAATGTCCAGCTTGCGGGGAACCCAGGTCACTCACAGGTGATGACATAACTTTATTTGTGAGAAGATGTGAAGCATTTCACAGTGTGAAGACCACACTGAAGATGTGGTCTTACTTTGCATCTCTTAGATGTAGCATCTTTGGAAAATGATTAAGACTGACAGGTGAAGATACCGTTCTTTTATTTTACCTATAAAGCACAGATCTTGGTTTCTGTTCAGTGTTGATGGAGCTTTATGATGAGCGACTGATGGTGGCAGTTTGTATATAGAAACAAAGTTGGAGAATAAGCAGCACTGGTTGAAGGCATTAGGTGGTGTTTGAACATGGGTTATCGTTTAAGATGTTCCTTCATCTTACCCCTTAAAAAACTTCAGTGCGTTACACCCCTCTCCCCCAGTGTGTAGTATTTTGTTTAAACAAGCAGGTGAACTGTGCCTGACCCACTTGAAAAAGTGCATAGCTTGAATTCCTGGCCAGTCTTTGGACAAACAGTTTTTTTCTGACAGTATTAGTCATCCACGTATATAATTTTATTGTTTTTTAGCAGCGTTTAGAAATCTCCAGCGATATTTAGAATGTGCTCTTACTATGTTTGAACATTCTGTGACTCAGATCTGTTCAGTGCTGAGCAGGAGTCTTGGGATAGTGAACTGTTGGCCCCTAACGAGGTGAGGGGTCCTGTGCAGTTCTTACAGACTCCTGCCCTGCATGAGTTAATTGCATGCATGCTTTGTGCTTAGGCTGTGTATCTAAACTAAGCCAGAACTTGCAAAGATAAACTACCAATGCATGTATTTTTCTTTTCAGAGTTCAATTAATGTGACAGCTCATTAGGGTTTAATTACTGTAACTATAGGATTCTTAGGTTGTTGTAGTGTATGCTCAATGCTATATTGGAACTAGTACAGTGCTGCTATCTTTAAAAAGATCCGCAGTAATAATTTTAAAGAGAAGTTATGCTATGTTAGCTGAGCAGGAAAAGAAGGATTCCCGTGGGTAAGAGAAGTTGCAGCTATGGATCTGGAAAAAAGCATTCAGACCATACTAGCATTATTCTAGAAAGGGATGCAACACACTCACACTCTCAGACATGCAAAATATGACTTAATATAGCTGATGCTTGTAAAAAACAATATTTGTAGGCTGTGACCTGAAATAGGTTCACAACCAGAGCTTGGTGTAAATGTTGTCAATATTTTGAAAAATGTATTCAGTTCATGAATATATAAAAGATACTTTGGAAAATATTGCTTTTCTTACTCCCTCATTTAATCCTTTCTTCAGTGTAGGTACGGCTCTCATCTCCTGAGTCTTTCAGAAATGCAGGCAGAAAAAGAAAATGTATCAAAAGACAGTTCTTGATTTGTTGTTCCTTTCCTTGTCTTAATATCATACTCCCTTGCTTAGAGTGGCAAAATGCGGCATAATAGAGTTATGTGTGATTGAAGGTGGAGAAAGTGACACTTGGATACTGTGGATAATCCGTTAAAAGTTCCTAAGTCTTCTACCGTCTATTTTGAACAGTAGGTGGCCTGAGTGCAAAACTATCACTGTTGAAGAGTGGTGCTGGAGGGATGGGCCTAACTCTCAAAGCTCTGTAGCAATTGAATTCTGTTAATGCTTTACTCCTTTGTGACTCAGTAAACAATCTGAGCATAGATCTTGCAATCTGTACGTAACATCACCTGAAGTCCCGTGATCTACAGAGCAGTCCACCTTCGATCCAACGCTTTTTCTTTTATTTTTAAATAGCACCTTGGAAACGACATTTGACACCAACGTGACCACCGAGATCAGCGGTCGCAGCATTCTCAGCTTGACGGGACGACCCACCCCTTTGTCATGGAGACTGGGGCAGTCCAGCCCCCGCCTGCAGGCAGGTGATGCTCCGTCCTTGGGGAACGGCTATCCTCCCAGAGGGAACGCCAGCCGCTTCATCAACACAGAATCAGGACGTTACATGTATTCAGCACCTTTGCGCAGACAGCTGGCATCCCGCGGTAGCAGCGTCTGCCATGTGGACATCTCAGACAAAGGAAGTGATGAAATAGATTTGGAAGGCATCACCATGGATGCCACCGGCTACATGAGTGATGGAGATGTGCTGGGCAAGAATATCAGGACTGACGATATCACCAGTGGGTAAGTGCCTTTTTTTTTTGCTACGTTATCTTCAGGTTGTGCATTTTTGCATTGTGACTGTACACCCTGTGACTATTGGAAAATGAATGAATAAATAGAACCACGGTGATGCTGTTGGTAAGCATTTGGAGAGACAGCTCATTACGGCAGGTAATTTAGTCAATGAGATTTAAGTTTATGTGTGTGTTGAGAAGAATTATTGCTGTAGGTAAGTATGATTAAACGTTCTGCTGAATCAGGGTCGTCGTGGCGAGCCAAGCACATGCTGCAATGCTCATTTATGCCCACAAGATGGGGAGAGTGAGGCATTTTTTAAACTAACTGAACGCTTCAGCTGCCTGAATGTTTAAGGAGAACATTCATGGAAAGTAAATGAGTTTACACCTTGTTGTGTGTGTCAAAACAGTTGTACATATGAATCAGATCTAAATAAGAGGTTCATGTATAGAAGTGTGAACTGATAGAAAATTATTATCAGGATTTTCAACATTTTACCTTCACTGTGAATGGTTAAAAAATGAAAGTATTGGAGGTCGGACTGGATGATCTCCAGAGTTACCTTCCAACCTCTATGACTGTGATTCTTTGCTCCAAGGTTGGTGTTTAGTTAACTGTAGGAAGGTTAGTTTTTGTTTCTTAGCTCAGATGCATCAGTGTTAGACTAATGTTGAAACTAATCTGTGAGATGCAGGTGGCTGATTTACTTTTCTTCTTCCCTGCCTGGCTGCCTTGAATCCTTTGCTTTTCCGATTTTTTTTTTTAATAAGTGATGTCAGTTGCAGCATTACCTTGTTTGGAAGATGTAGTATCTCTTATCGAAATACAGAGCTGGAATTCAGGTGCTTCATTGTCACTGATTTGATCAGGAAGTGGTCTAGAAGCCTCCATTCATTCTGTCCTTTCTGAATCTTTGGATGCTTTCAAACTGTCCTTTCTGAAAAATCAGACTTCATTTTTAACTCTTTGTTGAAGAAGCATATAGATATGTTGAAGAAGCCAGTGCAAAGAATGTATAAAATCCTATTTCAGGTAAAACCCCACTAGCTGTTAATATGTTAATCATGCATTGTACTACTAAAATGACTTGTTTTCATAAAATGAAGCAGCCTACACCTACATTCTGTTTGTTGTAGTAACAGTTATTGCATTTCTTGTGGACTGTGACTTTTATTCAAACTTATGTTTGTCTTAAATAACTTTTGTCTTAAAATAAGGAATATAAGTTCCGAGTAGCACCACCAGTTTCTGTGGAACACCAAGGATGAGCTGAGAAGTGTCCCAGGCAGAACTGTCATCTCATGCATTTGCTTTTCATATCTTAGTAGAGCTCCAGTCTTTGCAGATTCAATGTCAGTCAATGTACAAAGATCAGATTCCAGGTAAAGGGAAAGGGAATAATGAGAAAGCAGTTCAGTTTATGAACGCTATTTCCAGAGAAATCTGTGTCTTTGCTCATCTCTGAATATAATTTCCTTTTCTTTGACTACCTAGTCATCCCATAGAGTAGAAAGGGGAAGTCACCATAGTCTGAAAATACAAAACTGGTCTTAGATTCCAGGTTTGAGGGACTCGTAATTTTCTGTCGGTGGTACCTCTGTCACTGAAGTAGTATATTGAAGCAGTGAGCTAAATCCCAGGCTGGCAAATACGACATTTAGCAGAACAGCTCCACAACAGCTCATCCCTTGCCTTAAATGTTGGAGTATCTTTAACTGAGAGAAAAATGATATGAATGGAGTACTTGACTCTTATTTCTCTCTGGTTTTTGAAGAGGGGCAGTAATTTTCCTGCTTTTGCTTATATGACCATCCAGAAATTGATAAATGAGATCTCAATTTAGGACAAAAATAGTTGTATATAAATTCCTTTTTCTTCTTCTCACCTGTTGCCTTTAGCTACAAAAGCCTGTGTTGCTAAATAATGTGAGTTTATAGAGTGTTATTGGAACTGTCGAATCAGTTCCAAGCGCAAAATCTATATTAGAGGTCAATCCACAGTCAGAATGACTTAGCTTCATTTTCAGATTATCACTGGGGTTTGAAGCTTGAGCAGTTTGCAGAGCTTCTTATTGCTGCACCAGTAGACAATTGAAAGGAGCGTTCCTGAAAGCAGCCTCACAACATTGGGGTTAAATTGTCTGTGGAGAGAAATGGCGTGCAGATTCCTTTAGAAGGGAGTATTGCAGTATTGAGTTGCAATAACAGCATTGGATGTAATCCCCAAATCAACTGGGAGAGGTAAACTTTCTGTCAAAAAGATGACGATGTTACCTTTGGTTAATCGCACTGACGCCTATTCATGCCAAATGACCACATGCAGTGTGAACAGATGTTTTGGTAGCTTCATGGGTTATCTTCATTTTATTCTCACCTATAAAAACAGAGTTGCAGTATGTCTCTGTGAGAGAGGAATAATAGGCTGCTTAGAAATCAGTCGAGTTGCTTGTTAAGAAAGCATCATTGCTACTTGCTGCGGAATGAGTCTCTGAGATCAGTGTTAGGGTGAATGTGTCCGGTATTTTCAGAAGCTGAGTTACTGTATGCAGAAAACAGCACAAGAGGGCATTTATATCATGAATAGCTCTTTATTAGCTGATGTATGTTTCACTTTGTCATTTTCAGAATTGCTCCAGTGCTGTAGTCTGAAAACCTTGGATCTGTGTTTTCATTGGCAAACTGATAGGGAAGAAAGCCAAAATATTTATTACAGCCAAAATAAATTCAATAGCCAAGATAAACTATTTGAGCCCTCTGATCCTGATGCTTTCTCTGAAATGCACTGGGTCATGGGAAGTTTCATTTGGCCTCTTTTAATAAGTCTGCTCAGGCAGAGCTCTGGCATACATTGTTAGTATTGATTTCATAGGTTAGAAAGAATACCTTTTCCAAACAGGCAGAAAATACCAGTTAAAACTAAGAAGGTCTTCCGGTGGTGGATCGAAGGTAAGAAGAAATCTTCTTTTGGAAGCTAATACATCAACAGAGCAGCAGAGCACTCAGACTGGGATTGGTGCATTGGGTCCTGGTTCCTGGTGTCTGGTCCTCCAACACACTGGTCTGGCCTCCTTGTTTGGAGGGTTTTGTCCACTTCAGCCTCCCTTAGCTGCTCACATACGTGTTTCTACCTTCTGCCTATTTTTTTTCTCCTGTGTTCTCTCTAACGAGATGTAGAGTTCATTTTGTTTTTATCTGTCCTTGGAGTGGAACAACAGAGCTCTTGGTCAGAAAGGCATCTTAATGTTATTTTCTTTTACTTCAACTAATCCTCTGACATTGCTTTCATTACCTTAATGTGCAGACTTCTATGCAGAATTAACAGCCTGGTCGTATTGATTATTCCCAGACACAGATTTGCTCAGGAAATGGTCTGTGATCAGCAAACACCATTCAACCAATGTTCCTTGTTGTGGAAACATCTGTTGCAGCAAAATGTAGGTGTGCTGGTTGGACAAGCCCAAGAACCTGCACTTGGAGGCAGCGTGGGCAGGAGCAGTCCTTAGCCCTTCTTTCCATTTCATTAACATCCCCATGTGTTTGGTGCAGTGGAGCTGATCCATTCCCATCCAAGACCCCTGTTTCCACAATCAGTTAATGTGTTCATGTGTGCGATGCTCGTGGGATTCTCATTCTTGTTTATTCAAGCCCTTATGCTCTACGTGGATCTTTCTACAAGCACTTAAAGCAAGTGAATTCAGAACACAGAGGAAAGCAAATCACAAAGGAGATCAGGCCACAGTCGAGTGCAGAATCAGACTTCCCGTCACAAAAGATGAGCTAGAAGTCATCTTTTTGGCCCAGAGCCGTGTCTGCCTTGGAGTGACATGGGCCAGAACCAGCACTGAAACAGCACTGTAAAATGCAGAGGCTGAATTTTAATAGGTGTATCCATTATTTCCATTAGGAAGCAATGAGGAATTCAATATGAAGAGCCGAAGAGTTCATTTTAGTGAATGTTCAGTAATGCAGTGGATATTTGCAGTGTTCTTGTGTCCCAGTTGCTGGATTTAGTACTATTTATCAGTCAGGCAGTGATACATATATTTCAGATGTTGCACGACAGAACGTCGTTTGGGTTTGAGGCTTAAGAAAAAGAGAAGAGTTATACTTTTTGCTGCTAACTACATTTGCTCTTGGTAGCAGTAGTTAAAAGAAACCATTTCCTTCTGAGCCACCTGCAGCAGAAGTGGTTGCTGCCGCAGGTCATTTTGTGTGGCTGGCAGGCGGTCAAGAGGCTGAGCTAATTGTGGTGTAAGCAAGAATCCGTATGCCCGGTACACTGACTGAATGCTGGCTGTAGTTTTTTCTGACCCTTTTCATCAGAGATTACCTCTGTTAGTTGTTTTACTGCACTTGGAATGGTGTGATTTCATTGCTAAGATATCATCGCTGCAGTCCTTGTATGGCTGTAACACTTAACCGTGACTGAGAATCATGAGGGAGCTAATTGTGTCTTCCTTCTCCCTCTGAGAAGACTGTTTATTTGAACTGCCTTCTTTCTCTCTTGCTGGAACTGGCTCTTACATTTTGCACCTTTTGACACTGCAGAACAGCAGTGCAGCTAATAAGGAAGTCAAGCTCAACATTTTGAGTTTTATGAAATAGTAGTAAGGAGTCTTTATTTCTGACTTCTTAGTAAGCTGCGATGAAATTGGGTCAGAAGACCTGGGTTAGTAAGTTACAAATGTCCTGGTGCTAAGAAAATAAAAAGGAAACACTGAAATTGGTGTAAATAGCATCCTATGAGCTGTAGCCAGAGATTTTTAGAGCAGGCGTGGCTAGAATGTTACATAAGTATTTTCAGTGTTACTGATGTTGTAACATTACTAATAGTTTTAAAATATGTGTTCTCATAGCACTTGCCTCATATTTTCAGATTTGACATAGGTAGACATCTGAGGCCCGTAACTCACAACCTTAGAGATCATCTGGAATGGAGCATGTTATCCAGCACACCATTAAAAAGCCATCAGCAAGCCTCAGACAATTTAGTAGCACAGTCAG